AGACGGAGGCGAAGAGAGGAGCGGGAATGGCAAGAGGAGCGGGAGAGGGAGGAAGAGGACGATGAGGAGGACGAGGTGAGGAAGCGGATAAAGCGAAGGAAGTGGAGGATGAGGAGGAGGAGGATGGAGGGAAGAGAAGATAGCAGCAAGCAGCAGAGGAGGAGCGGGACGAGGAGGGGAGGGAGTGGTCATGGCAATGTCGGTCTGCGTGTGTGTGTGTGTGTAGGATAAGCACTGTCTCTTATACACATCTAAAAAAAAAAAATAGCGGTTGATGAGGGAGATAAGCGGCGGAGGAGCAGCGGGGGAGGGTGGGATAAGTGGTGCGGAGGAGGGGAGAAGTGGCGGAAAAGGAGGGGAGAAGCGGCGGAAGAAGGGGGAGGAAGAAGCGCAGGAGGAGGACAGAGCAGCGGGCGGAGTTTGGAGGAGGTCAGAGGAGCGGGCGGGGAAGGGCAGAGAAGGCGCGGGGAAGGGCAGGGAAGAGGGCGGGGAGAGTGGGGCAGAAGTGGGTGGAGGAGCGGGGCGGAAGCGGGTGGAGGAGCGGTTGAGGACGGGCGGAGGTCTGAGGAGCGGGCGGGGACGGGTGGAGAAGGCGCGGGGACGGGCGGGGAAGAGGGCGGGAAGAGCGGGGAGTAAGCGGGCAGAGGAGCGGGTGAGGATGGACAGAGCGTGCACGGAGGGCGGAAGACGGAGGTGCAGAGGTGCACGGGGAAGAGTTCGGCGGAGCGGGCCGCACACGGGGCAGAGGGCAAACCACGCGCGGAGGGTGGAGGGTGAACCACACGGGGAGGGCAGTGGGTGGAAGGCGGGCAGAGTGGGGAAGGGCGGAGAAGAAGGCGGGAAGAGCGTGGAGCGCGCGCTGAGGAGGAGGGGAGATGCTGCGGAGTGGAAAGCGGGCCAGAGCGTGTGGTGGAGGAGGGGAAAAGAAGTGCTTGTTAAAAAAACAAGTGGACACGCCGCAGCAAAGCTGCGGCACAGAAGAGGGGCCCGACGAGAGGCAGGTAAGGAGGGCAGCAAGCAAAGATGGAGATGAAGGTCGCAGTAAAAAAAAAAAAAAAAACGGTAGCGAGGCCATTGGGAGGGAATTTCTAAAATCAAAATTGGAGGAAATTTGGAGAGAGGACCACCAGATCCGGAAAAACAAACATGGTTTCACGGAAGGGGCGAA